ACGCACACAAAATTGCTTAGATTGATGAGGAAAACCGACTTAGCCATACCCGATTAAATGGATTTGTGTGAACAGGAAAATTCCAGCGTAAATTAATTAATCACCAAACCTACTTAATCAAATTAAGGGTTAATGATTAAAAATTAATTTTTTTAATCGCGGTTACAATTAGCTGTTTAACCAGATTAAAATTAATTATTACTAACTGTAATCGGATTGAATTTAATCGAATTAACTTATTGATTAAAAAATCAATCGATTAGTGCCAACACTGCAATGAATGAATGAGAGAATAAAAGATTTCGCGTTCCCGGCGGCGATGAGATTTAAACATTTTAACAGATTTAAAAGTAAACAAAGCCGAATGGGAGGATAACATAAAAATAAACTGTCAAAAATTAAATTTTCTTAATATTCAATTTTTCGACAGGAAACATGTTTCAATTGCCTTAGAATGCAAAATATATGATTTATAAAAAGAAAATGTTAAAAATCGGAGATTTGTGATAGTATTAGTGAATTTCAGTGCGTTTAAAGTTTCTGAGGCTTTATTAACATTTACTTGAGAATAGGCAAAACCCAAATAGCAGTTTGTGGAACGCACCACCTTTGTTCGCTAAATCGTGATGTGATAAAAATAAAAGCTGGCAGCACTCCGCAACGTTGGAGAAATCTCTCAAAGTAGGTTCGAAAAATATCTTTATAAGAAAGGAACTGCTTTACATTGTCAAGAAAAAAAATTCTTAAAACTCAACGCAGTTTTTAGCAACTTAAAATTTGCACTTTATTACATGTACTAAAATTTAAAAGTTGTTTTCTGGAGGGTCTAATTGAAAAGTTTGCAATTTATGTAAAACGTTGCACATTTTTTTTTAATTTTTTGCACAAAGTTTGAAACTCGGATTTATATGGTATTTTAGACAATGAGCTATACTTTTGTAAAAAATTAATAAACCTTAAACAAACAAAAGAAAATAGTCAAAACTTGTTGAACTATCGCGACCATGTTAATACTTATTATATTTTCTATTTCGTAGTACAAAAAAAAAGGATAAATAAATAATAAACTATCCAACAACTGAGATCTACCACATTTTTTTTTAAATCTACCACATTTTTTTCCTGATTCTACCACACAGAATTCTTTTTTAATCCGATCACTGATCGTATGAGTAGTTCGCCCAAACAACATATGTGTAAGCGCCAATCTACTTATTATTTATTCTGGTACTAAAAAATTCAGAACAAGATATTCTGGTTAACAAAAGTCTGCTTCTCAAAATTCTGCTTTTCAAAGTACTGAACTACAAAATTCTGTTTTAAAATATAATGTAAACAACGTTAAAGGGGGCATGTCATTACTTTGAAAAGTGCGCATTTTTTTCAAAGTAATGACCTATTTAACATTGTTTACATTATATTTTAATACACTATTTTGATTTTAATAAAATAATAAATAATTATAACGTGAAATATTCTCCTGAGTTTTGGTCAGTACACCGGAAACAGAAACCTTTTCTAGAACGTAAAACAGTAGCGAAGGGTGGTATTGCCAGCTAAAAATAGTTGTTGGATGAAGCAAGTCCCAGTTTTATAATCTTGTATTGAATTTACAAAAAACTTATTTTTGCGAAAACTCAAATTTCCAGAAAGGAAAACAAGTAAATAAAAAGAAGCCGCTAATAAGAACCATTAAAAAAGAAATAACAGTTTTTTTGAAGAGATGCAATTCTCAAACTATTGTAATTTACTAAACCAAAATGTATTATGCATATATTGAAAATAAAAGTTTATTTTGATAAGTGTAAACACACGCTGTAAGAATTTGTATACTTGTAAGTATAACGGATTTTTAGGTCGCTTAGAACGTATTTCCTAAATGTAGATTTAAGACAAAGGGCCTGTGCCAATTGATAGAAAAGATGAAATTTTGACGAATCAAACAAAAAATTTAACATTTTTCTTGGAGAATACAAACGTAAGAATTTTATCTAGCTCATTGGGCTGGTAAAATTTTGATAGCTTCTAAAAATATATATTCATAATATTGTTTGGCGGTAATGAAGAGTCAAAATCAAAATGAAAGCTGAAAAAAGCATTAGGCGTAAGTTACTTACAAGCATATACAGGGTGTCCCAGAAGTAACGTGCCAAACTTTAGGGCAAGGTAGGTGGGGGGGTGAGCTCACTGATAAACAAAAAATTTTCAGGTAAAAGTGTCACCGTTTTTGAAATATTTACATTTTTTCGAATTTAAAAAAAA